TAGCCAATGCACGCATTGCAGGTCTACAGGAAGATTTGAAATTGAGCAACTATCAGTTCACCATTGCACTGACGGTTACTTCCATCCCATATATTCTGGTAGAGCTACCGGTAAACTTTGCTCTTCGGGTGCGTACGTGCCACCTCCTTTTAACAGTACTCACCTGATGTTGTGAAGGCTGTTGGACCACATCGTATGCTTCCAGCTATGCTCACGCTATGGGGCGTCGTAGTGACACTTCAAGGTTTGGAGGGATTAACTGACTTGTCTGTGTTGGAATATGAGGTCACGGACACCGTAAGCATGCCACTACGTCACCCCGTCACAATCCACCCTCGCTAAATATCACATCCCATTGTCATGATATGGACAAAGCATTAGAATTAGATTATATACCAGCTACCTACGGTCGAGCACCCTCAGTCGTTTCTATACAGACTGAGGGTGAGTTTCTATTAAATCGTTTACTTACCATAAATATCATTACTAACCGTACCTATTAGATTAGACACTAACTGTGTCTGTATGCTTTTAGGTACAGAATAGAGTCGTTTCTATACAGACTGAGGATTAGACACTAACTGTGTCTGTATGCTTTTAGGTCTTACCAGTCCAGATTCTAACAGTCTGATGTGATGTTTTACACCGGACCATTTAGGGTTAGTCAAAAGCTACATGGACCTTCTCGTTTGTCGTTTTTTCTTGGGTCTTTTCGAAGGTGGGCGAGATAATCACATACTTTCATCTTTTTACTGTTACCCAGGCGGTGTCTTCTCTGGATTCATCATCTACCTCTCGTTCTGGTATCCCCGTCGACATCTCCAATCGAGGTCCGTTGTTCCAACCTTGATTCAAATATTTCATCACCTGACTAGGGTAAATATAGAGTATCAGCATTCCTGGTAATTGCTGCTTTAACAGGAGCGTTCTCAGGTCTCCTTGCGTATGGCATCATCCGCATGGACGGGCTTGGGAACCAGCCGGGCTGGGCTTGGATATTCGTTCTCGAGGGCCTATTGAGCGCGTTATTCGGAATCTCTGCTTTCTTCACTCTTCCACAGTCCCCTTCACATGCACGCTTTCTGACGAAAATGGAGAAAGATTATGTGATATCCAGACTCCGTCAAACGGGGGCTATCAGTTGCGATGATAATGCCGATGCCTTCAGCTGGCAGGAAGTCAGGCAAGCGTTTACTCTTCCGCAGGTGTGGTTGGTATCTGTGATACTGTTCTTTATTGGTTGGAATTTATGCTTTCCGGTGTCTGCTTCCGCTCACAATGTGCTCCGATCATAGGCGCCATTGCATTTGGACTTGCATAGTAAGTTGCGAAAATGGAAAATTGTCAGCAAGGGAATTTTGATTCTTTTTAATTACGTTCAGTTTTACACCTTCAATTGTCGTTGATCTCGGATATACAAAGGTCGAAGCGCAGCTCTACAGTGTACCTCCCACCGTAGCGGCATTCTTTGGTCAGTGCAACACTGGTCACCTTCCAAAATCAAATAATGATAATGACATCCACGACAGTCTCGATAATCTCAGCCTATCTCGCAGATCGTTTTGGAGCTCGAGGTCTCATCATCATGTTCTCAGCCCTCATCATGACTGCCGGCTTTGCGGTCTTCGTTGGTTCGCATCTTCTCTCTCCTTACATAGATACTCTATGAAATTTTTGTCACACTGGCAGCCGCACATTCTCCGCACGTCAAATACGGCAGCCTCTTCTTAATTGTAACAGGTGCCCAGAGTGCCTCGCCAGCGCTCTTGACATGGGTGGCTAATAATGCCTCTCCATACACTCGCCGCGCCACGGCGAGCGCTGTCGGCTCCATCATGACCAATTCCGGGGGTATACTCGCGACGTGGCTCCTCGGAACGCTTTCACCTGCCCCTTTCTATCGAAAGGCGGCCATAACTTTTCTCATCTTTTCTGTCCTTATTTTCATATTTAGTGGCGTAAACATTCTTTATTTGAGTTCGCAGAACAGAAGGAAGGCAATAATACGAGCAACGACGTTCCGCGAAGACGAGAAACAGGGGCTTGGTGACCGCTCTGCTTGGTTTGTGTACAACTTGTGATATCAATATATTGTCTGTCGTTGTAATTACCTACTTTTCGAGCTAACATACAATGATTGATCTGTTCATTTCACGACACCTCACATGCATTAATGGGGTAGTGGTAACCTGGGTCGTTGCCATTATGAGAAACTCGACCCGCCGGGGGTTCGATTCCCCCTTAATGCAACGTTGTA